GTCATGCGTGTGTGCGGAGCCACACGGACGTACTGCCGCTTAACGCTGCAGCGTCATTGGCTCTCGTATCTACCCCAATATCTCCGGGGGGGTGCTTCTGATCCAAAAGTGGAAAAGGACTTTTCGGCTCAGAATCACCCCCTGTACATGCTGCTAAACGATTAGCATGTACTTCTGGGACACCCTGTATAGTCTGATTGCATTGCGCATGAATGGCTAAAGCGTAACTATACAGGGTGTCGGAGATAAAATTGTACACCCAAATAACTATTGAATGTGGGTAGTAATCAAAAAATCTTTCAAATAGAAGTTGTAGGGCTCCAAGTGGGAAAAATAATGAGATATGTTTTGAGCATTTAAGTCTTCATGTTTTTATGCTACAAGCATAAGTTCATTTTTTTCATATGCGATCAAAAATTTTCTTTTAACAAAAGTTGTTGTACTCGATGAGATGAATCTAATGATGTCACACATAATGTGTTTTTTATGCTTTCTGAACTCAAAAATACTAAAAATTGAACTTGTCCACGATATTCCAAATTCAGGCACGATAAACAGAAAAATAAAGGAGAAATAAAAAGGCGCCAATGGATTGTTCCATTAGAAAGACGTTACAACAAGTGATCAATGTTCCCACCATTCACTTCAAGACACAACTCAAGTTGACGTCGGAAACTCTGCACAACATTTCGAAGCGCTTGTTGAGGAATGTTGGCAATAGCGCCTCTGATACGTGTTTTCATGTCTTCTGTAGTCGTTGGTCGATTTTTGTAGACAACATCTTTAATGTAGCCCCATAAATAAAAATCAAGTGGAGTTAGATCAGGTGATCGCGGAGGCCAAAGAACAGGACCACCTCTGCCGATCCAACGACAAGGAAGCAGATCATTGAGATCATTCCTCACACAATGTGCAAAATGCGGTGGCGCACCGTCTTGTTGGAACCACATTCTTCGTCCTGTGTCAAAGTGTACATGTTCCAATAAAACTGGGAGGTCATCTTGTAAAAACTGTAAATAGCGTTGACCGGTGACTGTTCCCTTGAAAAAATACGGCCCAATCACCTGCCCATCAACAATGCCACACCACACATTTACACTCCACTGATGCTGGTGGTCAATGTGCTGAGTCCAGTGAGGATCTTCCATAGACCAATAATGGGAATTATGACGGTTTAATGCGCCAGTACTTTTAAACGTCGCTTCATCACTGAAAAGGACATTTTGGAAAAACTCGGGACCTTCGTTCAAGATCGCTATGGCCCAGTGTGAAAAAGCAACACGATTCTGTCTATCTTTTGCCGACAGTGCTTGTGTCAATCTGATATGATATGGATGGTAACGGTTCGATTTCAAAGTATCGTGAGCTGTGCTTCGTGGAATACCTGAATCTCTCTCAATTTCTCTTAAAGAGATGTAAGGGGAGATGTAAAGAGATGTAATTTTTGCATGGGGGTTGAATTTTGATATTGAAACTTAATAGAAACAGAATGATATTTCTATTAAAACAAAATGCAAATTAGTATTTTTTTGCCCGCTTTGAATTTTTTTTCCGATCAGTATGTTTGGGTGGCTCTTAGGGATGAACTGTTGAGAATAGGGATAAAATACCTCAGAAACTTTTTGTAGAGACTAGCGTATATGGCGCGCTATGCGCGCCAAATCGTCTAC